ATCGGGATCTTCTCACATGAGTTAGGTCATGTGGACTTGACCTTACTATATCGTCTTGTGGAACTTATGCTTGTTATTCTGTATGTCACCCAACAGGGTGTTTATTCAGAGTGATCTGTAACAGTTTTTTAATTATTATAAGAAGCTTGTGAGTGTGTTGTTTTTAAACTCATTGTTAGCTTATTAAGTATATATACTTACATATATTTGATTTTCTTATGATGATATCTGTACGGGCTGCGCCCTGTGTTGATGTGGTCGCTATGCTGTAGCGGTTTGGTCTAGACTACTTGCTTGGGGGGTATCTGTATATATGGGTATGTTTGTGTAGAGTTGAGTGGTATGAGGTAGGTGGGAGGCTACTGTGAGTGGTTGAAGAGATGGGGTTATTTGGTGTGTGTTTTTACTAGAATGTCAAATATGGGATTAGGTAGTTCTGTAAACCTTCCTTCATTGTCTCATATATATAACATCTTTCTAATGAGTTGAGTTTGGGTCCTTCCTTCATCTATAATACTTTCATGGTCTGGTCCATTGTGCCAAATGTATATCCAGCTTCCAAAATGCATTAGGCGAATATAAATATAAATGCTATCAGGAGTAATGAACAACATTCTAAATTTCATTTCTGGAGTTGGTTTCTACAGTGGATCACTGAAGATGAGATTCATCTGGAACTGACATTCTTTTCTGATGAAATATGGGTTCACTTGCAGGGATACATAAATACAAAAAATTACTGCTACTGGAATTCATAGAATCCACATTTAACCCATGAAGTATGGCTCCATCCAGTGAAAGATGGAGTCTGGCCTGCTGTGAGGGCAAAGAGGATTGCTCTACCTGCGTTTTTTAATGGAAGAATTAATTGTTAAATATATGTACAGGTCATTCTCGGAAAATTATTTCGAGGGTTACAAAAGCAGAAAGATTCTATGGCTAGTTTCAGCAAGACTCAGCTACTGCCCACACTGCACATACAACTATGCAGGCCTTGTCTAGTATCTTCGGAGACAGAAATATCAGCACTGGTATTTGGCAGACACATTTACCTGACTTTTAATTCTTGGATATTTCTTCTGCGGTTGTTTGCAGGACAAAATTTAAAACAGTAAACCCTATAAAGAAGAACTAAAAAATATATTCATAGGGAAATAGCAAAATTTCTGGCACAATAGCTTTAAGGGCTAAGCAGAACCCCTTCTGCTGGTGCAAGTAATGTCTATATGTGGGGGGACAGCATCTTCAACACCTTCTGTGAGCTGTGAATTGTATACTTCATTCCAAACGTTACTGGCCATAGACATACTGATTCACTGGCAAAATTTGTATGCACTTTGCAGCCAGCAGTGCATCAGTTGTTGTGAACCAGCCGAGAAAAGTAAGAACCTCTGTCTATATGTAGATGTAGAAATTTTCTTTGATGTTCATTAACCCTCCGCAGACTGGCAATTTAAATATTTAAATCACCCTGGGTACAGGCATTTTTTTACCTACTACTGTAACTTGTGCAATGTTCACTTTAAAAATTAACCTTTAAGAGCCTAGCGACACCATATGGCGTCATGAAAATAAAGTCAAGGGGACGAATGACGCCATATGTCGTCGCGCAGTCCACGCGTGCGGCCGGCTTTTTAAAATATACTTTTTAGTTATAAATTCTTTTTCTACTTACATGATTTTTGGTCACCAGCTTTATAAGTTGTCTCTCTTCCCACCTGCGTCGTCTAACGGAAGTTGGCTTCGTGTCGAAATCTTGGAAACATCCGGAAATCCAGGGTCTGACGTCGCACTTCATGCACATTGTCTAGACGGTTCCTCGTTTCCCACGCGAAAAGCACACACGACACATTAATTGCGAAGTAGAGGAAGTCAGCCAGTGATGTAGTCTGGCCTCCTATTATCGAGATATCTCTGATAAAACGGCAGGGGTTCGACCCCTGGGCCATTGATGGCGAGGTGGACCCCTTCCAGCATGTTCCGCACAAGAGCGAGACGAAATTCTCTTTGTGACAACAGGATGTAACTGTTCAGATCCAGGAGATTGAAAAATAGTTTATTTGTCCATTTCCAGGTTCGACGACAGATGCTATAACTGTTTGCCACAGTTTGCCCACAGCTCCACCTGAATAATTATTCACACTCCTCTTGCCATGCTGGTATGGTGGTCCCCAGGTTGCCGACCAAGATGAATGGTCTTTGTCGAAATCCATTTCTGAATCACTTTCCTCAACGCCACTCTCAGAACTGTCGGTAAAACAATCTGATTCGGAGTCATTTATGAGTTGAAAAATGTCTGAATCTTACAAATGAAAGGACGCCATGGTGAGCTGAGAATATCACTGTTCTCGCTGCGAAACTTTGAAACGCTATGACACTGCTTGGCTGTGCTTGGCCTTGAGAGTTGTGATAAACTAACCGAGCCTGGTCAGTACAGAGAAATCGTTGTGTATAAACAATCAACGCCCTTATAAACGGCGATATACAGGCCCACATCTCTGCATACCAAAGAAGGTACGTGTATATGCTTCGAGACATGCGAGACTAAACATAATCGTCTTCATAACAATCCGCTGTGTTGCCTGTGTTGCCACATCTGCATAGAGCGTTCTTGCTTCCAAGAACTATATGAAATCTTGTAGGCTGACGACAAATTTGGGACTTTTATACTTGGAATCAGTCTAAGATTTTTTACACATTTTATAAAGTCTTAAATTACGATATCTGATTCTATATTCTTTCTAGAAAAAAACAGCCTTTATTTGGTTCGTTTATCACAAAAATTGTAGAAATCACAGCAGTTTTAGGAAATGATTACAGTTTTTATTGCTTTAATATTGCGGGTATTTAAATCAAATCCGTCCCGCTGCCGTTACCGGAATTTAAAGGGCCGTCACTTAAAGGCTAATATAAATTCTCCTAATTAATTTTATGAACTAAAAATTTTTGAGAACACTTACCAATGCTCCTAGAAGTGCTTGAGGGTGTGATGTTTCTTGAAACATTCCCCCTGTGAAGTGGCATTACACAAAACTTGCAAATGTAGAGTCATACTCCTTTTCTCGTGAACTGTGCAAACACGGCATTACCTAGAAGGATGCTTCTCCTTGAAATGTTCACTCTTCACAATTTTTGCGAGGCTAAGTTTCCGCATATCACCCGAGAGTCGCCCAGGGAGGTCAAAATGAGGCCTGCATGGGGTGGGATTAGACAGGCCCGGTCACACTAAGACTGTGTCTGCCGCTGGTTCTGCCACCACCGTGAGGTCTGTAGCCCAAGCTTTTGCCACATTCAGCAGAAATGCCTTGTATTTCAATTTTGAATGAGGGTTTAGATTTTTGAAAACCAAAAATGAATTGAAAATGGCACAATTTATAAGCCACAAGGAAACTTTCTTTGTCCACTTTACTGTTTTCTGAGGAAGAAAATAATAGGCCAAGTACTCATCGGCTCTATCAACCCCCTTCACGAACATATTATACTCGGAAATACAAACAGGCTTCTTTCCCTGTCCATATCTCCTTTGAACATCAACCATGCTCAAATTGTAAATTGTGGAAATCATATTCACAACATGAGTATCCTTCCAGGACTGAAGAAGAATATCCCCCCTTCCTCCTGAATGTGGTTTTACCACATTTCAGGGATTTACATTCCTCTTTCAGATCTGGAGGATCCTAATTGTTCCATGAACATGTACTTTTCTTGAAAGTAGGTGTTCTGCAGTTGCCACAATGTTATAATAACTGTCTTGATAGACATGGTAATTTTGATCAAGATAGGGTTCCAAAATGGAAAGAATAGTTTCTTGTAATTTCTTTCCTTCACCACAATAAAATTGTAAATTTCCAATATAGCCTGAAGTGCTTTCAGTAACTACATGAACAAGTAGGCTATAAATCTCAAATCTCAAATCTTACAAGTAGGCTATATATACTTTGTAAGTTTCCCAGGATTATATGTTCGCATATTGCACTACTCACTGACAGCTTGCTAGGTACAGCTTGAAGAAATAAAGGCATTTATTTTACTTTGCAGGTGCATACAGTTACAGCGAGGTCATGTAACTGATTAGTCAGCAAATATTCCAGAGGGTTATCATGCAGCTGCAGGCAGCTACGTGCAAGCTGGGTGGCACCAGAGCTATGTTTAGTGTGTTCCAACTTATCGTGTTCTAGAAACATATTAATAAGCAACCGCTCCACCACGTTTAAGAGCGAAAAACGTATTAATGTGTGTGTAGTCCGCAAAGTGTTGATAGCTTTATTTGTGTGTTTAATTATATCCATTTTAGAATCCATTTCACCACCATTGTGTCTATATTTTAGGATGTGTTGCCAATGCCAATTCTTCAATATTGCTTTCTACACCTTTTACACATTCTCTTATCTAATATTTAAGTCATCTTCCTGTCTGACAGAAAATAGCAAAAAAACCCTGTCATGACAACCAATCACCGGGCAGTAGGTATAGAGGCAACTCCAACAGTGTCAGGTATATTAAATTCACTTAAAACAAAAGAGCAACAGACAACACGTGTCTATAATCTGTCACACATTGTCACAAATCTTTAGAGAATCATTAGTTATCCTATAACAAATCCTCAACACAATGACACCTCTATGTTATTACACGGATACAGACTGCATGAGAGACAGAAAACAAATGATAAACTTCAGCATTTGTAGATCCTGGAAACCTTATGATGTAGTATCAAAGCACTGCTTAGTGGATTGGACAGACATGGAAAATGTGAAGGATTGTTCCTGCTATGGAATTTACCGCAAACATTCAGCTTACACAATATCTATTTTCATCTAAAATATTAGATCTGTTTAGGGAGTGGTACATCACACGCAACATTCGAGGTACTACAGCCGGGGGGGGGACTTTCAAAGTCTAAGTAAACAGCACAGTGGAGTTGTTTCATGTTCACAGACAAGACAAGCGGCATTTCTGCACATTTGTGTCATCTGCATAACAGTGCACATACAGCTCACCTCAGGTTCAGCCTTTATTTCTGGAAATGTTATTGCGACAGGATCCTCTTCCTCTTCTGCATCTGAGACTGCCTCAGCTTTTACATTCATGGCCTGATTTGCATCATGAGGTGTTGGGTATGTCTCACCATATGGACCCACTAAAGTGTTCTCCGAATTTGTAGTTCTGTAAAAACCATTACATCCTTCTCAGAAATGGACACACAACAACACACATGAAACAGCGTATGCTCTCCTTGCTATGGCTGTTTCTCATTCCATTTAACTCATAAGATCTGTTTTGTACAGATGCTCTTCTCTACAGCTATCATGATCTGTAACTGCACCACTGAAATCCTTCCCCTTCCCCTCTTTTTATTTCAGCAGCTGATAGAGTAGATAAAAAGAATTATGAAACAAAGGTTTAAGACACACTGTCAGAACAAGGAGTAGGCAATGAGCAGATAGACCAAACTTGCATGGACAAGGGCATCTGCTAGTCCTTGCATCCAAACTGTAATGTGGGTTGTTTACGTTTGCGTGTGTGAGGATGGTAGTTCACACGCGAACTCAGGATGTTAGAAGTTTGTCGCTAAGTCGAAAGACTTAGAAGGTAACGTTGTTTTGTTGCCACCACTTAGTGTTACTGCACTAAGACAGGTACGGTGTTGTTGTACTACTCCAACAGGTGAGATGCACTGGCCAGGTGCGATGTTGAACTCTGCCTGCCGAAGTCGTTGAGCGTTTGAGGACCGAAGCGTTGGGCGTGTGGATAAGCGAAATCTCCTTGAAGATTCGAATGTGTGAAATAAGGTAGACGACACGAACTTGTGAGGTGGAACCAAACACTTTACTTGTTCAAGACATGAAATAAGTATAATACAGGAATCAAACCCCTGACTTTACGAGAGCAGTGTGCTCTCACGCGCACAGTGCGTGCGGCACTAGATTAATAGTTTTTACATCCTCGATTAGTTACAAAGCCAGCCCTTATATAGTACTGTCTTCGGGCGTGGCAAAATCATGTGACTTCATAGCGTCCATCTCCTTATAAGGAGAGCTTCAGGCCTGAATGGCCCCTGGATATTGCAGCCTTTTCTCAGAACTATAACGTCATCCTCAGTGCCATGTGCAGTCGAGATGACTTCATTTTCAAGTTGCGAAATATCTGTTTATATTAGGCTTAATTTCAGTTCTATACTCTGTGTCTAGGGTAGCTCACACTATCATATGCCAAATTAATGTGAGAAAACATCATTAAAACTGATAAAATACAGCATGTGGTGACGTCACATAACATACCAGCGTTACCACATTACACCTCCCCTCCTCTGAAAAGTTTTTGCCTCATAGGTGAAAACTTTAGCGAAACATTCTTCTATTCTTTGTTCGCCTCAAAACTTTATCTATCTCATTTTCTGATTTTGAAATTTCACCTGTCCTCCCTTTCAACTCCTTAAGTTCAACAATAACATTATCTCCTTCAGGTAAGGACTTCACTGAACCTACTGGAGAGGTATTTGTTTTCTTGTATTCAACCCTAGAACCATTATAGTTATGAATATTAATACAACATCTCTCTTTTGTCTGTTGCCAACAATCTTTGGGGCTCCACTTGTCCCAAAACCAAAAGAAACAATTTCTGCAACATTTACAACAACAACAGCTGCAACAAATACACAAAATAATTACACAAATTATAGCTACTGCTGTTCCCCAAGATGTCGTAATCATATAAAATTTCTCATTTTGTTTAGTTTCTTGTTCTCTAATTAATTGTTGTACTTCTTCAGTTTTCCTACTTATAATCCTCAAATCGTCTACTGAAGACATAACATTTACTAGTGGGATGTGCAAAGGTAATTCTTCAAAGTTCACATCTTTCACTCCCTCAAAACAACAATCAAAATCAATAGGAGCTGAAGGCACATAATCATTTGTCAAATTAACATAAAAGGTTGAAATAGCATACAAAGTCACATAAGAGGAATATCCTTTACATTCTGGCTTTAACGTTAATTTACCTTCCCCCTTTAATTTCAAAGTACTTGTCCCTTGTGGACACAACACAGTAAATGTTTCCATTTCAGGAGCAATAAACAACCATTGATTACTCTTATATAATGGAATCCAAAAAGTTTTCTTCAATTTGAAAAAGTTGTACTCACAAGTGTCAGGAGTCTTGATTGTAGACGGATGTAACAAAGTTGCTTCACAATCTAATCCAGGAGTATACGTGTAAATAGGTATTTCTCCTTTACATACAAACATAATTTCATTAATCTGAAAACATCCTGTCAATTCATTTATACTCATTTTTCCATAGTGTTGTCTTAATGAATCAGTAAAAATCAATTCTTTATTACAATTGGTAAAGTTATACGTTGATTCCTCCTTTCTGATACTTTGTTCAGGTATCATACTGTCGTAACAAGTTTTACACAAATACAATAAACATTTCTTATGCAAATGGGTAGTAGGGGTTATGATCCTGTGTAGTTCGGAAAAAGGGAAAGTAGGATAATCCAGTCCATTCGGCAATTTCTGTGTTTCCAATAACTTTTTAATTTTCTCGGCAGTAACTAATTGTGGTTGGAGAGAACCTTGCTCGGCATGTACAAAAGCATCTATCAATATTTCAAAAGAATGTTGACTTTCATCAATTCCCCTCTGTACTATCTTTGACTGTTCATTAATTAAATTCACATTATGAACTTCCTCCTCTATTTCACTGAATTTATGTGTACTATAATTAAGCAACTTGGTTAAACCTTCCTTCAAAATTTTCTCATTTTGATCAATTTTCTGTAACGTCGTATTAACTGAAGTAATGGTGGCTTTTATAACTGTCATCTGTTCATTGGATAAATGCAAAAACTCTTTCTGTTCCCTTTCTAACTCTGTAATATGCTTGTTGTAATTCTTTGCATCTGACTGAGTTAAAGTTCCAAATAAAATCTTGGATATTTCGCCCACAAAATTTAAAACAACTCTTTTGAGTCTATGATTCGGAATCTCATCACTTTTTGTCCAATACTCGGCTATCAAATCTTTCAAACTATCAATGTATTTAGTCTTTGACTTCATATACTGCCCAAACGTGGCGCAATCTGTATAATGATACCAGTTTTTGTCTTTGATTTTTTGACAAAAATCTGTAACTCTTTTCTGATGAAGTTTAGTTTGTTTCCATAATTCACGCGTTGGTTCTAAATCAATATATGTGATGACCTTCCATCTCATAGGATAAAATCGAATAGTTCCTATCATCAAAGTATATGCCTGTCCTTGAATCTATGTCATCAACCTTCTGACCTTGACCTTGAAGCAGTGTCCACCATACGCAGACTGTGATTACAAAAATCCCTCTATACAGCTGCATTTTCTGAAATTGAAGAGAAGTATGGTTTTAACCTATTAATGTGTACCTCTTGATGCTTTCTTTTGCCTACTTCTTGTATGACAGCATTAGAACCTTTTATATCTTTAATCTCATACGGACCTCTCCACAATGGGTCCAACTTTTGCCTATTCTCTATCCTCAAGAGAACTAAATCATTTACTTTGAAATCATACTCATTTGATTTCACTCTTTGTCTCTGTGCTTCTTTAAATTCAATTAATCTCTCTCTAGCAATTTGCTGACAGTTCTGCATTTTATACTTTATCTCTAACACAACATCATCAAAATTATAAAGTGGTTGGGGTTGTCGTTGTAATCTTCCTGGTATATTTGCATTTCTCCCAAAAAGTACCTCATAAGGCGTATATCTCGTAACTGAATGTGGTGTCGTATTATACGTAAAACATGCAAAGGGTAACCACTCGTCCCAATTATTTAATCTTTTATCACAAAAACATCTCAAATAATTTACAAGTGTCTTGTGTGTTCTTTCCAAAGCTCCGTTGCTTTCTGGATGGTATGCGGTTGTACAAATTTTCTCAATCTTAAATAATTTGCAAACGCGTTTAAAAACATCACTCATAAAATTCGATCCTTGATCTGTCACAACTTCTGTAGGAATTCCATAAAGCAATATAATATTTTTCACAAAAACATTTGCAACCTCCTCAGCTGTCTGAGTTTGCAATGCTATGGCAATAAAGTATTTACTTAAATTGTCCTGACATGTCAAAATATATTTCATTCCGTTTTCGAATAATGGCAATGGTCCAACAATATCTAAATAAATTTTATCCCATGGAGCATTCTTTGTATCTGTAACTACCAAAAGTAACTTTACATTCGGACGGGTTTCTTTATTTAATTGACAAGTTTTACAATTCCTTATACATTAAATTACATCTTGTTCTAAACTTGGCCAGGAAATGTATAATTTAATTCGTTCAATAGTTTTCCGTATAGCTTGATGACCTCCAATTAGACAATTATGCATCTCAGCAATAATTTTCTGTTTTCTTTCTTCTGTAATTTCTTCCAAGTTAACATTTAAACACTGAACAGGGTAACGACTCAAACGATCGGCATTACAATTTCTTTGTCCAGCCCTGTATTCAATTTGGTAATCAAATTCCTCTAATAATAATTTCCATCTCATTAACCTTAAACTCGGGTCCTTGACATTAAAAATCCAAGTTAAACCCTTATGATCAGTAACTATTTGAAATTGTCGTCCCAACAAATATGGTCTAAAATGTTTACATGCCCAAACAATGGCTAATAATTCTTTTTCCACTGTCGCATATTTGAATTCAGCATCATTTAAAGTTCTACTGGCATATGCAATTGGTTTATCTTGTCCCAATTTTCCTTGACTTAAAATGGCTCCTATAGCATAACCGCTAGCATCTGCTGTCAAAATAAATGGTTTATTAAAATCTGGATATTGTACGAGTAACAAAGGAGTATTAGTCAATTTAAATTTCAATAAATCAAAACTGACCGTTCTCTTTCTGTCCACTTCCATTCATTTCCTTTCTTTAATAATTCTATTAATGGTTTAGCAATTGCGCTAAAATCAGCTATAAATTTGCGATAGTATCCTGCAAGACCTAAAAATGATTTAATGTCCTTCTGTGTTCGTGGTATGGGAAACTCCACT